GTTATATGCTCGAAATTAGGGCAGGAGCACATGTAGAATAAATAGACGATTACAATCGTATCTTTAGAATTAAGTTTTGACGCCTAAATAAAAAGATTAGCGCAAGGAACGAAATTGTGTGTCTAGCGCGTGAGAAATCGACGATGTATGACTGTTTAGCCATGAAACCGAGCAGTATTTTAATTGATCACTTTCTAAGAGATGGCGTTGCAATATGTTAGGTAAGGACATTTGAATGCGTTGAGTGAGACACAACGATATATAATAAGATATATATATAAGAAATGAATGAAAGATGTCACTATTGTCGAATCCCTTAAGGGGATGCTGGAGTGACGGTCGAAGTTAATCAAGGTCGATACTATAGCCTTTTTTAAATTCCAAATTCGACAATAGTGACATCTTTCATTCATTTCTTATACTTATTTTATATCGTTGTGTCTCATTCAAACGCATTCATCTGTCCTTATCTAATATATTGCAACGCCATCTTTTAGAGAAAGATCAACTATAATACTGCTCGGTTTCATGGCTAAACAGTCATACACCGTCGATTTCTCACGCGCTAGACACACAATTTCGTTCCTTGCGCTAATCTTTTTATTTAGGCGTCAAAACTTAAGGGCCTGCGCACAATAGAGGAACAAGAATTAGATATTAAGACTTCAATCTATCAGAAACCGTGTATTCCGATGTAATCAGTTTCTGATAGGTTAAAATCTTAATATCTAATTCCTGTTCCTCTATTGTGCTCAGGCCCTAATTCTAAAGATATTACTGTAATCGTTTGTTTATTCTACATGTGCTCCTGCCCTAATTTCGAGCATATAACGTGCATATAATTTTTTCACAAAGTAAATGTTTGGTGAGCTGATAGCACATGAATACAGGAATCTGTAATTTATTATTTTTCCCAGTTTTGGATATAAAATACACCAGGTGCAGGTACATTAGCACGGATATTTCAATCGTGGAGAAGGAATTTTTATTCTGTGCAACTAATTCGTAGAATATTGCATTTAACTAAACGCTTGCTTTATCGGTAAAAAAGAAAACTCCAGCATTCTTAAGGGGATGCTGGAGTCTTCTTTTTTACCGATAAAGCAAGCGTTTATGTTAAATGCAATATTCTACGAATTAGTTGCACAGAATAAAAATTCCTTCTCCACGATTGAAATATCCGTGCTAATGTACCTGCTCCTGGTGTATTTTGTGTCCAAAACTAGAAAAAATAATAAATTACAGATTCCTGTATCCATGTGCTATCAGCTCACCAAATATTTACTTCGTGAAAAAATTTTATGCACGTTATATGCTCGAAATTAGGGCAGGAACACATGTAAAATAAATAGACGATTACAGTCGTATCTTCAGAATTAAATTTTGACGCCTAAATAAAAAGATTAGCGCAAGGAACGAAATTGTGTGTCTAGCGCGTGAGAAATCGACGGTGTATGACTGTTTAGCCATGAAACCGAGCAGTATTATAGTTGATCTCTTTCTAAGAGATGGCGTTGTAATATGTTAGATAAGGACAGATGAATGCGTTTGAATGAGACACAACGATATATAATAAGTATAAGAAATGAATGAAAGATGTCACTATTGTCGAATTTGGAATTTAAAAAAGTCTGTACTGTCGACCTTGATTAACTTCGACCGTCACTCCAGCATCCCTCTTAAGAAAGTGTGTGTGTGTGTGTGTGTGTGTGTGTGTGTGTGTGTGTGTGTGTGTGTACGCGCGCGCGCGCGTGAACGTGTGGGTGCGCGTAAGAAAATAATCTTTTATTAATTCAGCAAACTTTGTATTTCTTAATAATAACGGCATGAATTATATCATTTTTTTAAACATTTCAAAAATATTTTATAAACATTTGTAAAATATTTTAAAACATTGCATGAAAACTTCACAGAAACATTTTAGGAATATTGTTCAAATATTGTAAGAAAAAGAATATTTCCAAAACTCTGATTTTCTAAACAAATTTATATTTTAGAAATATTTCTGAAATATTTTATGTTTTATATATATATATTTGTTCATCAGAGAGGGTTAAATAAAATAACTATAAAATCTGATTCTTGATAATAATAGTTTAATTAAATGTACGTCACATACTTACATCTTATACTTAATTATAGATTTATATCTTACAAAGTCATCACAAAAAGTATTTGCTACTTAAAGTACAGGTAGTTATACGATTTTGATATATTAATGTCCACAAATTATTCAAATATTGTCATTATATTTAACAAATACCTCATATGCAGAAATTTGTTAAACAGAATGATGATATTTAACATATGCTATGCCTGCGAGTTCCTTGCATAATTCTTCCGTCACTACAGCACTTTCGTATAGAATATTCTCCTTCTCCCTACAACAAAAATTAGCAAAATGTGAAAAAAACAATATGTAATAGTTAATACACATTTTCTATTAAAAAAAGATCTAATAATACAAATTGTTTAAAAAATAACTTTTTTGAATATTAAATTTTATAAACATGAACCTTAAATATAGGTAATAAAATATTATTTACATTTAAAAGGAGTTTATTTTGAGAGTTTTGTAACTTGATGAATTATGGATGTACTTAATATAAAAAAATGAAAAAATATTAATTTTTATAATAAAATGGTTCGGATTCCACGTACTCTTCTTGAAAACAATTACTCAGCAATCTCTGCCTCGTTTCCGCCAGCATTATCTTATTTTCTGGTGTCTTTGGTATTTCGCTAACGAGCTGCTTGACAACCTTCTGTAAGCACAAGAATAGACTCTTCGTGCTAGGTATCAGAGGTAACAGAGGATTTAGCAAAAACTCGTGCAGGTACGGGTGCGGGAGTAGCGCCAATCTGAGGATCAACCCCATGACCTCTAAGTTAATTTCATACGTCTGTCTTGGTATGTTACTAATTTTGTCAAAAAGCATGCTCAGGAATGGTCCCATGTAGAATCTGCCTGAGCAATGATCAGCTTCCGGTCGCGAGTCGGAACTCGCGGAATCGTCTACCATTACCGCTTCTAATGGCCACGCCATCAGAGCGCAGTCAGAAAGTGCTGAAGTGTACTGCTGCTCCCAAGCTGGCATATACTTCTCACAGTTATTAACGTCCGGATCTGTTTGCAAATAACGTGGCATCAACGACAGGAAACTGAAATGAAAATCATTTCGTTGTAACATTTGCGTCATTTCCGCATCCTTCGTTGTTTATTTAATTCTCTGACGATAGAAAGAGCAACGCATTTTTGCATTTAGACTTGAGCAATTGATATTCTCTTATTATAAAAAAATTTTTTATTAATGTAACATTTTTAATAAGCATACCAATTAATTAATTAATTGGTCTTACCAATTAATGACTCGGTGGATATTACTCGGTGCCAAAGTGCGACTGTGATTTTGCTCATAAGAAAGATCCAGAGTTCCTTTTTTGTCTTTCTCTCTTTCGTCTTCCTCGTCACTCCACGAGGTGATAGCACTATCAGCAGCGGTGTTATCATAATATGCTCGCGTGGACAGATAAATCAGTACGAGACAGTGCAATATGTGTTCGTTTCTTTTGTCTATGGCCTCCTCGAACAATTTCAACGTTTCTACCGTGAGATCGTTACTGTCTGTGAAGCAGTTCTCTATCAATCTGTGCAACACCGGTGACGTCCACACGTTTGGTATTTCTGGATCTCTATCTTGTCCGACTAACCAGTAACTCACCTCTGAAAAATTATTAAAGCTTCAGATATATAAGGTGAACCAATAATAAATATTTTCAAAGATTTGGGTGAAAAATGAATTATGTAGAAACTTGAAATACAAAAATTTTTTTAAGTTAAAAAATAGTTAGGTTTGGCTAAGCATTATATATATATATATAAAAAAAAATATATATACATATATATATATATAATGCTTAGCCAAACCTAACTATTTTTTATCTTAAAAACATTTTTGGGTGAATGTTAATGGATGTCCCAATCTTTTACCATGGGAAGTAAGTTATCGACTGAGCTGTGATTATCTAAGGGTCACTTTCACCATCATCGGTTTATTTAACCAGCCTAGTAACTGTAATGAAATAGAAAAAGATAGAACTGTTTCTATCTATTTCTATTTCATTACAGTTACTAGGCTGGTTAAGTTAACTGAGCCCCAGATAGACAAATACCTCCACGGTATTAGTACGGTGAGGGTACGGCGTACTATGCGTGCCGATACCGTACCTGTCAGGTACGTGCGTACCTAAAGGGTACAGTACCGGTACACCG